CCCGTTGGGGTTTATTTTGCAATAACAACTCCAAAAACAATTGCTAGCAAGCGGCTTTGAGGCAAGACGAATGAACAAGTTCAGACTGTATGACCATAAGGGATCATTTATATTCATATCAATTATTACATGGCTTTTCACCACATAAATATTTACAGGGAATGCACATGAAATATTGATTTGAGAATCAACTGTTTATTATCTTTATCATTACAGTGTACAAAACAATTGTTGGAACAAGAAAATGAACACTACATTACAGTCCTATTAATACTGAAGACTTTATAGAAAATGTAATTTTAACTATAACAGAGATGTGAGGAGGTGTTTGTATAAAATGAGAGAGCGAGGTGTGGTGTGATATGACAGACATGATAGAAGTGCCGGCTTCAGTACCCAATTGAGCAATCTGTTTTGCTATTGATGACGGTTATCATCGGGAAATAACATACATTGGAATGTATGTTACTATATGATTGTATGTAATTATACATTTAAGAAAAACTATAACTCCCAAGATGCGTCTACAGTATGCCACAGTTACACTTTGCACTGCAATTAGCTGTTTTTCATGTCTTTAGTCCGAGCAGGCATGAAAATGTTGGCTATGCTATGCTATACAGGTACTTTTCATACACAAGAAGCACTTCAATGCGGAAATACAAGAAGTTGACATGATAACAAATCTGCTTGAGATTGCGAGTGAAAATATCCTGTCTCTGAGTCCAACACTAAATATTTAGAATAAAATGAGAAAAATCAGCAGCAGCTCAAATTATATTTTTCAATGACCCTGCCCAAATGCCACACTTCATGTGCACTTGCAGTCTTGCGGACTTACACAGGCGCTCTACTTTGACACATTTTTAATTAAAGGTGCTATATGTATTTTTAGCGGCCTCTATCGGTGATGTTTCAGGTTGCAACCAATTTTTACAAGAGCGCTCGTGCTCGAACACAAGAGCGAGCACTCATGGTACTGGCCACACTGAGACTTTCAACACACCGGAGAAAGCATCACACAACATGTTGGAAACTCATGTAAACTCCCACTGCAACGTTACAATAATAGGCTACTTTTATCAGCTTGACGTTGAACTAAAGCTCCATGCTCGTACCATGATAACGTTATATTGACTGCATTTAGCCGGCATGTGGTGTTATCTAGCATAAGGCATTTCACCAACTATTCGTGTATCTTTTACAATCAGCCAGCAATGTCAACATAGATGAATGTAGTGCGGGGTCAAGGGTGAAGCAGAGGAGGTCGTGCAAGAGGGCGGGATGAAGCTGCCTGAAGCAGCAGGGGTGGTAGCCATGGTAGCAAGGGAGAGTGACAGTCGCCCAGCCAATCATTTCATTCGTCCCGAATGGAATAATGAGCTGTGTTTATTGCAGCCCTGAGAGGACTACAGACACTCGATTTTTGTAACCTCTTTTTCAGAGTACTTACATTTTAATTATGCATTGATATATATAAAGACAGTTTAAACAAATTTGGAAAAAAGTTTTTTAGACAAAAACTACCTACCCTACCTTTAAACATGCAATGTGTCCATGCAATCTATAGTCTAACTCGTGCATTTTAAACTTCATAAGATAATACAACTGATTATGAATAATAATAAAGAATAATACAGATACATAATATTAAATAATGAAATTATATTCAAAGATTAAATTTTAGTCTTCAGTACCTAGTCCAAAATAGATTTTTTTTAAAGGAAATGGCAGTGAAATGGTAAAATTCCAATAAAAATACACACCTGTGCCAAATTTAATGCAGTTAGCTAGCCTGACTTCGTCATACTCATATTCTAGTCAGAATGTGAGTCTGATACAGCTCCATAGGGCTTTGATTATGAGGCGTGTCTTAACCGAACCAGGGAAAAAAAACTCTGCACTCAATTGGATAGACCTACAACCAATCAGAGCAACGCAGTAAGTGTTTTTTTTTTTATGAGCTCCGCAAAGTTGTCAACAGAACTCAACTACATGCACGCTGGAAGAAGTAGTAAAAGTGTAGTAGAAGTGTTGCTTCTTTTACTTGGTCCTCCATGAGTTACTCCTCAATGGATCAAGTCCAGACCGAACTTCCCGACCAAAAAATGTTGTGGGCGGGGTTCGGGCTGGCATCCAGGCTAGCAGTTAACATAAACACAGGCAAACTGATCCCAAAAAAAACTGAAAAAGACAAAAAAATGTCCATAAGGATGCACAAGGGTTAAAAAAATCGTATTAAAAATCCGTGATTTTTCTGTAAAAAACTGTCCAAACACTATTATCGGCATTTCTTTTTGCCCGTCGTCCACCATGTTTGTTTAATATATACTCACGTTTGACCGCGAGAGATTGTGCAAAATTTTCCGTGTTCACAGTCGGGACTCTGTTAGTGTGTGGTGTGCTGTAACATTGCGGCACACTATAGGAAAAAAACTGTTAAATCTATTTTTTATCGTCATGTTTGTGGTCTCACATTTAAAAAATTTAGTAGATTAATGTTGGTAGACTTGAACTTGAAAAATTGTGTCTTTCCGCAGTTGAAACAATACCTTCTGATGTTCCTTTATGTTTATTTCGTGTTGTAACAAGTAGGCTGAGGCACTACAGCGATCTGTCACAACACATCAAAGAGCCACAAAATGGTATTTATGGTATTGCTGGAAATGATCATCGTAACAATGCATTGAAAGTGTACTTTCAAAATACATTATAGTATACAATAGTATTGTGTACAAAGTATTAGCTAAGTATTATATGTAGTATACACTTATGGTCGGTGCCGACATGGGCATGTGCGCCGACATGTAGCGCCATTGTGCTTCAGGAGACCCAAGTTCAAGTCCCGGCTCGTGGACCTTTCCCGATCCCTACAAAGGCATATACTTAAAGTATATTAAAGTATACTAAGTATACTTGAAGTTGTTCCAATTCAGTACACAAAAGTACACTAAATACACTTAAAGTTATGCTTTACACAATTTAATTACAACTAAAATATACTTACTACAAAATTTGTTTTTTCAAAATAGCACACTTCAAGTTAATTAACTAATCATTAACACACTATACTAAATTAGTCTGGCTGCAAGTATACTTAGAATGTTTTTTTTTCACCAGGGTGAAACTTTGTTTCATACCTAAAGTAACCTGCTCTGTATTGTCTGTCTGCACGTTGTCAGTTTGCTCTTTGTCGGAGATGTATTTTTCACTGCGTGAGAAGTTGAACAAGATGTGTGTATTTATGTTTACAAGGTGAAACAGATTAACATGAGCTGCTGTTGATTTTTGCAGCCTGTCAAATTAACCAAAAATATAATTTGGCTTTTCAGAAGGTAAACTCTTTTGTCATGACTCACTCCAAGTCTCTCACTCATGCCTACTTGTGCATGTTATCTTGTGGCACATTAACATTGCCGTCTCAATGACTTAAACAGTGTCCCCTCATTTTTTTGAAGAAGCACAAGTGCTTTTAAAAAAATGTCAGTATACACCCATGTACAGTTTTATTTTAGCCTATTTCCAAATAACTGTGACTGTATTAAACTACAAATCAAAGGACATACAATGACAATTTATTCATAGTGAATTATAAAAGTGGAGGAAAAAATTAAGTGGCAGGTCAAATTGGATGTGGCAAAGAAGTACATTTTCTTTTCTGATCATTACATTAGTATTTCTCCTTAATTATTAGGCCTGGCTCTGTAGAGGTGTTAAGTCAGGTAATTTTTGAAAACAAGACATGTCCCGATGAAGAAGACATAGAGAAGACATTTGAAAAAAGTCTTGATGAATCCAGTGTCTCCTTAAATGTCATCAGATCCAGCATTGTTGCTTGTGAGTATAAAATTCTGTTCTAATACCTTGGTAAGCATATTTACTGTTACAATTGTTTACAACAGTGATACTGTCAAATGAATAAGAAATATCCAACCTTTTAAATGTTCAGATATAAAATAAACATTAAAAGTGATAATTCTTTTGAAACATTTCCTGATGTTCACTTATGTTAATAAAGTTTTTTTTTTTTTTGCAAAGAATTAAATAAATTACAAAAACATTTGTTTTAAACAACATGAACATTTTCAAACATCATTCTGACCTTTTGTCAGATATACTATTTTTTTGTTCTTGCTTTTTTAAGACATCCAGTGTTATGACTGTCCAATGTAATTGCTAAGGTCTGCAACAAGGTATCCAATGGAGATTAGTTGAAATAATTTCCTATTTTGAATACCTCCTTAACAATTTACAAACTTTGCGAATTTTGGACCACTTAAGATGGACCACCCAGTACTTTTTTTGATAACATTGACGTGTTATGTCAAAAGATGAAAGAAAATGCATTAATCAAGTCATGTACATTTTAAAAGAACAAAAATATGAAAATATTCATTCTTTACTAAAAATAATCTATTTGTGGGCATGTTCAAATAATAGATTCAGGACTTGGAGATACCACAACTGAACAGCCAACAACACCACCTCAACTTGCCTCAACATCTGAAATGCTAATGACAACAACTCAACAAAGCACTATGCTTTTGCCAACAACCTCATCTACGGTTCAAATTACAAGTGTTTTACCATCAACTTCCACAAGCAAAATCCATTCTGCTGCAACAACGTCTGAAATGCCAATTACAACAACTGAAAAAAGCACTAAGCTTTTAGCACCAACCTTATCTACAGTTCAAAAAACTGTTTTGCCATCAACTTCCACAAGCACAATCCATTCTGCTGCAACAACGTCTGAAATGCCAATTACAACAACTAAACAACGCACCACACTTTTGCCAAAAACCTCATCTACTCTTCAAACAACATCTGTTTTGCCATCAACTTCTACAAGCCATGATTCTGTGAAAACATCTGGAATGCCAATTACAACAACTGAAGAAAGTACTACAATTTTGCCAACAACCTCATCAACGGTTCAAACAACAACTGTTTTGCCAACTTCTACAAGCACAATCCACAATACGGCAACAACATCTGAAATGCCAATTACAACAACTGAACAAAGCACTACATTTGTACCAACAACATCATCAATGCTTCAAACAACAAGTGTTTTGCCATCAACTTCCACAAGCAAAATCCATTCTGCTGCAACTTCGTCTGAAATGCCAATTACAACAACAGAACTAAGCACTAAACTTTTGCCAACAACCTCATCTACGGTTCAAACAACATCTGTTTTGCCATATTCTATAAGAGCAAGCCATGATGCTGCAAAAACTTCGGAACTGCCAATTACAACAACGGACAAAGCCACTAAGCTTTTAGCAACAACCTCATCTACAGTTCAAACACCTGTTTTGCCATCAACTTCCACAAGAACAATTCATTCTGCTGCAACAATGTCTGAAATGCCAAATACAACAACAGAACAAAGCACTAAACTTTTGCCAACAACCTCATCTACTCTTCAAACAACATCTGTTTTGCCAACTTCTAGCCCTGATGCTGTGACAAGCCTTGATGCTGTGACAACGTCTAATGTGCCAATTACAACAATTGAACAAAGCACTACACTTTTGCCAACAACCTCATCTACGGTTCAAACAACATCTGTTTTGCCAACTTCTACAAGCACAAGCCATGATGCTGTGACAACATCTGAAATGCTAATTACAACAACTGAACAAAGCACTACACTTTTGCCAACCACCTCATCTACGGTTCAAATAACAAGTGTTTTGCCATCAACTTCCACAAGCACAATTCATTCTGCTGCAACAATGTCTGAAATGCCAATTACAACAACTGAACAAAGCACTACACTTTTGCCAACAACCTCATCTACGGTTCAAACAACATCTGTTTTGCCAACGTCTATAAGCACAAGCCATGATGCTGTGACAACATCTGAAATGCCAATTACAACACCTGAACAAAGCACTACACTTTTGCAGAAAACGTCATCTATGCTGCAAACAACATCTGTTTTGCCAACTTCTACAAGCACAAGCCATGATCCTGTGACAACGTCTGAAATGCCAATTACAACAGCTAAAAAAAGTACTACAATTTGCCAACAACCTCATCTACGGTTCAAACAACATCTGTTTTGCCTACTTCTACAAGCACAATCCACGATACGGCAACAACATCTGAAATGCCAATTACAACAACTGAACAAAGCACTATATTTTTACCAACAACCTCACCTATGCTTCACACAACATCTGTTTTGCCATCAACTTCCACAAGCACAATCCATTCTGCTGCAACAATGTCTGAAATGCCAATTACAACAACTGAACAAAGCACTACACTTTTGCCAACAACCTCATCTACGGTTCAAACAACATCTGTTTTGCCAACTTCTACAAGCACAAGCCAAGAAACTGTGACAACATCTGAAATGCCAATTCCAACAACTAAACAAAGCACTACACTTTTGCCAACAACCTCATCTAAGGTTCAAACAACATCTGTTTTGCCATTAACTTCTACAAGCACAATTCTTGAAGCTGTAACAACATCTGAATTGCCAATAGAAACAACTCAAATACGCACTACGCTGTTGCCAACAACCTCATCTACGGTTCAAACAACGACTGTTTTGCCATCAACTTCTACAAGCACAAGCCATGATACTGTGACAACATCTGAAATGCCAATTCCAACAACTAAACAAAGCACTACACTTTTGCCAACAACCTCATCTACAGTTCAAACAACATCTGTTTTGCCAACTTCTACAAGCACAAGCCATGATGCTGTGACAACATCTGAAATGCCAATTACAACAGCTGAAAAAAGTACTACATTTTTGCCAACAACCTCATCCACGGTTCAAACAACGACTGTTTTGCTATCAACTTCTACAAGCACAAGCCATGATACTGTGACAACATCTGAAATGCCAATTCCAATAACTAAACAAAGCACCACACTTTTGCCAACAACCTCATCTACTCTTCAAACAACATCTGTTTTGCCATCAACTTCTACAGGCCATGATTCTGTAAAAACATCTGAAATGCCAATTACAACAACTGAAAAAAGCACTAAGCTTTTAGCACCAACCTTATCTACAGTTCAAAAAACTGTTTTGCCATCAACTTCCACAAGCACAATCCATTCTGCTGCAACAACGTCTGAAATGCCAATTACAACAACTAAACAACGCACCACACTTTTGCCAAAAACCTCATCTACTCTTCAAACAACATCTGTTTTGCCATCAACTTCTACAAGCCATGATTCTGTGAAAACATCTGGAATGCCAATTACAACAACTGAAGAAAGTACTACAATTTTGCCAACAACCTCATCAACGGTTCAAACAACAACTGTTTTGCCAACTTCTACAAGCACAATCCACAATACGGCAACAACATCTGAAATGCCAATTACAACAACTGAACAAAGCACTACATTTGTACCAACAACATCATCAATGCTTCAAACAACAAGTGTTTTGCCATCAACTTCCACGAGCAAAATCCATTCTGCTGCAACTTCGTCTGAAATGCCAATTACAACAACAGAACAAAGCACTACACTTTTGCCAACAACCACATCTACGGTTCAAACAACATCTGTTTTGCCATCAACTTCTACAAGCACAAGCCATTCTGCTGCAACAATGTCTGAAATGGCAATTACAACAACTAAACAAGGCACTTCACTTTTGCCAACAACCGCATCTACGGTTCAAACAACATCTGTTTTGCCATCAACTTCTACAAGCACAAGCCATGAAACTGTGACAACATCTGAAATGCCAATTACAATAACTAAACAAAGCACCACACTTTTGCCAACAACCTCATCTACAGTTCAAACAACATCTGTTTTGCCATATTCTATAAGAACAAACCATGATGCTGCAAAAACTTCGGAAATGCCAATTACAACAACTGACAAAAACACTAAGCTTTTAGCAACAAACTCATCTACAGTTCAAACAACTGTTTTGCCATTAACTTCCACAAGCACAATCCATTCTGCTGCAACAATGTCTGAAATGCCAATCACAACAACTGAACAAACCACTACACTTTTGTCAACAACCTCATCAACAGTTCAAATAACAAGTGTTTTGCCATCAACTTCCACAAGCACAATCCATTCTGCTGCAACAATGTCTGAAATGCCAATTACAACAACTGAACAAAGCACTACACTTTTGCCAACAACCTCATCTACGGTTCAAACAACATCTGTTATGCCATCGACTTCTACAAGCACAAGCCAAGAAACTGTGACAACATCTGAAATGCCAATTGCAACAACTAAACAAAGCACTACACTTTTGCAGAAAACCTCATCTATGCTGCAAACAACATCTGTTTTACCATCAACTTCTACAAGCACAATACACGATATGGCAACAACATCTGAAATGCCAATTACAACAACTGAACAAAGCACTACATTTTTACCAACAACCTCACCTATGCTTCACACAACATCTGTTTTGCCATCAACTTCTACAAGCACAAGCCATGACGCTGCAACAACGTCTGAAATGCTAATTACAACAACTGAACAAAGCACTACACTTTTGCCAACAACCACATCTACGGTTCAAACAACATCTGTTTTGCCAACTTCTACAAGCACAAGCCATCATACTGTGACAACATCTGAAATGCCAATTCCAACAACTAAACAAAGCACTACACTTTTGCCAACAACCTCATCTACAGTTCAAACAACATCTGTTTTGCCAACTTCTACAAGCACAAGCCATGACGCTGCAACAACATCTGAAATGCCAATTACAACAACTGAACAAAGCACTACATTTTTGCCAACAACATCATCAACAGTTCAAATAACAAGTGTTTTGCCATCAACTTCCACAAGCACAATCCATTCTGCTGCAACAATGTCTGAAATGCCAATTACAACAACTGAACAAAGCACTACACTTTTGCCAACAACCTCATCTACGGTTCAAACAACATCTGTTTTGCCATCGACTTCTACAAGCACAAGCCAAGAAACTGTGACAACATCTGAAATGCCAATTCCAACAACTGAACAAAGCACTACACTTTTGCCAACAACCTCATCTACGGTTCAAACAACATCTGTTTTGCCAACTTCTACAAGCACAAGCCATGATAATGCAAGAACATCGGAAATGCCAATTACAACAACTGAGAAAAGCACTAAGCTTTTAGCAACAACCTCATCTACAGTTCAAACAACTGTTTTGCCATCAACTTCCACAAGCACAATCCATTCTGCTGCAACAACGTCTGAAATGCCAATTACAAAAACTGAACAAAGCACTACACTTTTGCCAAAAACCTCAACTATCCTTCAAACAACATCTGTTTTGCCAACTTCTAGCCATGATGCTGTGACAACATCTGAAATGCCAATTACAATAACTGAACAAAGCACTACAGTTTTGCCAACAACATCATCTACGGTTCAAACAACATCTCCTTTGCCAACTTCTAAAAGCACAAGCCATGATGCTGTGACAACATCTGAAATGCCAATTCCAACAACTGAACAAAGCACTACACTTTTGCCAACAACCTCATCTACGTTTCAAATAACAAGTGTTTTGCCATCAACTTCTACAAGCACAAGCCATTATTCTGTGATAACATCTGAAATGCAAATTCCAACAACTAAACAAAGCACTACACTTTTGCCAACAACCTCATATACGGTTCAAACAACATCTGTTTTGCCAACTTCTACAAGCACAAGCCATGAAAATGCAAGAACGTCTGAAATGCCAATTACAACAACTGAACAAAGCACTACACTTTTGCCAAAAACCTCAACTATCCTTCAAACAACATCTGTTTTGCCATCAACATCTACAAGCACAAGCCAAGAAACTGTGACAACATCTGAAATGCTAATTACAACAACTGAACAAACCACTACACTTTTGCCAACAACCACATCAACAGTTCAAATAACAAGTGTTTTGCCATCAACTTCTACAAGCACAAGCCATGATACTGTGACAACATCTGAAATGCCAATTCCAACAACTAAACAAAGCACTACACTTTTGCCAACAACCTCATCTTCAGTTCAAACAACATCTGTTTTGCCAACTTCTACAAGCACAAGCCATGACGCTGCAACAACATCTGAAATGCCAATTACAACAACTGAACAAAGCACTACATTTTTGCCAACAACATCATCAACAGTTCAAATAACAAGTGTTTTGCCATCAACTTCCACAAGCACAATCCATTCTGCTGCAACAATGTCTGAAATGCCAATTACAACAACTGAACAAAGCACTACACTTTTGCCAACAACCTCATCTACGGTTCAAACAACATCTGTTTTGCCATCGACTTCTACAAGCACAAGCCAAGAAAACTGTGACAACATCTGAAATGCCAATTCCAACAACTGAACAAAGCACTACACTTTTGCCAACAACCTCATCTACGGTTCAAACAACATCTGTTTTGCCAACTTCTACAAGCACAAGCCATGATAATGCAAGAACATCGGAAATGCCAATTACAACAACTAAGAAAAGCACTAAGCTTTTAGCAACAACCTTATCTACAGTTCAAACAACTGTTTTGCCATCAACTTCCACAAGCACAATCCATTCTGCTGCAACAACGTCTGAAATGCCAATTACAAAAACTGAACAAAGCACTACACTTTTGCCAAAAACCTCAACTATCCTTCAAACAACATCTGTTTTGCCAACTTCTAGCCATGATGCTGTGACAAGCCGTGATGCTGTGACAACATCTGAAATGCCAATTACAATAACTGAACAAAGCACTACAGTTTTGCCAACAACATCATCTACGGTTCAAACAACATCTCCTTTGCCAACTTCTAAAAGCACAAGCCGTGATGCTGTGACAACATCTGAAATGCCAATTCCAACAACTGAACAAAGCACTACACTTTTGCCAACAACCTCATCTACGTTTCAAATAACAAGTGTTTTGCCATCAACTTCTACAAGCACAAGCCATTATTCTGTGATAACATCTGAAATGCAAATTCCAACAACTAAACAAAGCACTACACTTTTGCCAACAACCTCATCTACGGTTCAAACAACATCTGTTTTGCCAACTTCTACAAGCACAAGCCATGATAATGCAAGAACATCTGAAATGCCAATTACAACAACTGAACAAAGCACTACATTTTTACCAACAACCTCACCTATGCTTCACACAACATCTGTTTTGCCATCAACTTCTACAAGCACAATCCATTCTGCTGCAACAACGTCTGAAATGCCAATTACAACAACTGAACAAAGCACTACACTTTTGCCAAAAACCTCAACTATCCTTCAAATAACATCTGTTTTGCCAACTTCTAGCCATGATGCTGTGACAACATCTGAAATGCCAATTACAATAACTGAAGAAAGCACTACAGTTTTGCCAACAACATCATCTACGTTTAAAACAACATCTCCTTTGCCAACTTCTAAAAGCACAAGCCATGATGCTGTGACAACATCTGAAATGCCAATTCCAACAACTGAACAAAGCACAACACTTTTGCCAACAACATCATCTATGCTTCAAACAACATCTGTTTTGCCATCAACTTCTACAAGCACAAGTCATGACGCTGCAACAACGTCTGAAATGCTAATTACAACAACTGAACAAACCACTACACTTTTGCCAACAACCTCATCAACAGTTAAAATAACAAGTGTTTTGCCATCAACTTCCACAAGCACAATCCATTCTGCTGCAACAATGTCTGAAATGCCAATTACAACAACTGAACAAAGCACTACACTTTTGCCAACAACCTCATCTACGGTTCAAACAACATCTGTTTTGCCATCAACTTCTACAAGCACAAGCCAAGAAACTGTGACAACATCTGAAATGCCAATTCCAACAACTGAACAAAGCACTACACTTTTGCCAACAACCTCATCTACGGTTCAAACAACTTCTGTTTTGCCAACTTCTACAAGCACAAGCCATGATAATGCAAGAACATCGGAAATGCCAATTACAACAACTGAGAAAAGCACTAAGCTTTTAGCAACAACCTCATCTACAGTTCAAACAACTGTTTTGCTATCAACTTCCACAAGCACAATCCATTCTGCTGCAACAACGTCTGAAATGCCAATTACAACAACTGAACAAAGCACTACACTTTTGCCAAAAACCTCAACTATCCTTCAAACAACATCTGTTTTGCCAACTTCTAGCCATGATGCTGTGACAAGCCGTGATGCTGTGACAACATCTGAAATGCCAATTACAATAACTGAACAAAGCACTACACTTTTGCCAACAACCTCATCTACGGTTCAAACAACATCTGTTTTGCCATCAACTTCTACAAGCACAAGCCAAGAAACTGTGACAACATCTGAAATGCCAATTCCAACAACTGAACAAAGCACTACACTTTTGCCAACAACCTCATCTACGGTTCAAACAACTTCTGTTTTGCCAACTTCTACAAGCACAAGCCATGATAATGCAAGAACATCGGAAATGCCAATTACAACAACTGAGAAAAGCACTAAGCTTTTAGCAACAACCTCATCTACAGTTCAAACAACTGTTTTGCCATCAACTTCCACAAGCACAATCCATTCTGCTGCAACAACGTCTGAAATGCCAATTACAACAACTGAACAAAGCACTACACTTTTGCCAAAAACCTCAACTATCCTTCAAACAACATCTGTTTTGCCAACTTCTAGCCATGATGCTGTGACAAGCCGTGATGCTGTGACAACATCTGAAATGCCAATTACAATAACTGAACAAAGCACTACAGTTTTGCCAACAACATCATCTACGGTTCAAACAACATCTCCTTTGCCAACTTCTAAAAGCACAAGCCATGATGCTGTGACAACATCTGAAATGCCAATTCCAACAACTGAACATAGCACTACACTTTTGCCAACAACCTCATCTACGTTTCAAATAACAAGTGTTTTGCCATCAACTTCTACAAGCACAAGCCATTATTCTGTGATAACATCTGAAATGCAAATTCCAACAACTAAACAAAGCACTACACTTTTGCCAACAACCTCATCTACGGTTCAAACAACATCTGTTTTGCCAACTTCTACAAGCACAAGCCATGATAATGCAAGAACATCTGAAATGCCAATTACAACAACTGAACAAAGCACTACATTTTTACCAACAACCTCACCTATGCTTCACACAACATCTGTTTTGCCATCAACTTCTACAAGCACAAGCCATGACGCGGCAACAACGTCTGAAATGCTTATTACAACAACT